TGGCCCAAAAGCCCTTTCCTCTGGGCTGGGAGCAGTGGGAGGGATGGTGACCAGGAAGCCCCCTCCAATGGACCAGGAGCAGTGGGACGGCGGCTCAGAAGCCCCTACCTCTGGGCCGGGAGCAGCGGGACTCAGTACCATGGTCTGGTGGTCTGGTGTCCTCTGCATCTTTGTAGTGTGGAACCAGGTGGCTGTACAGAGGAGCCGGCAGGGGAGTCCAGTGGATTGTTGCCAGGGCACGGGCTGATTCGGAGTCTTCTGCGCTACTGGGGACCTCTGTAGTGCATGCACAGACCTGCCTGTCTGCAGAGGGGTGATTTGGCATCTCCTGCCAGACTCGGGACCTCTGAGTATAGCGCTATTAAAACATTGATTCTCTTGGGCCGGGGATTTAGCTCAGTGGTTTTGCCACCTGCCGCGCAAGTGCAAGGACCCCAGTTCGATCCCAGAATCTCTGCAGTAAGTCCTAGTCTCCTGTGAGCCAAGGCAGCACACGGCGAATTACAGGAAAGGTAGAAAAAGGAGACTTCTCCCTCTTTCTTTCCCTCTCAACTTTTAAAACATGATTTTGTATTTTAATTTTTAACTGACATAACCATACATTGTGATATTTCAATACATGTGTACAACGTGTAATTGTCATATCATGCTAATTAACATGTTCATCACCGCAAACATCATTTCTTTGTGTTGGGAGCATTCAGTATCCTCTCAACTAGCCATTAGATACCTTATGACAATGCTTTGTTGGAGGAACTAGATTGCCCAGTGGTATACAGCAGGACAGGAGTGCTGGTACCTTTACAAAGGCCTTGGAGAATTTTAACAGACTCTATTTGAAATTAGCTCTAGCCATGTTCATGTTACTGCAGCAGGGAGGCTGGCAGATGGTGATTCTGATGGATTTACACCCCCATTAACTTCACAATTAGACTCTAGGTAAGGAAATCCCCATATGCCCAAGCGAATATAAATTATTAAATAAATAAGGTAGTGTCAAATGGCTAGAATGGATCTTTTTCAATCTTATGTCTATAAGGTCAGGTTCTCCAAAACTATGGGGAAAGCAGAGATTTTATCCCAGGAGGCATGAAGGCAAATGGCTGGGATTTGGATGCTGCCCTCTCAGGGTCTGAATTGAATTCCTGTCTTTGCCAGTGACAAGCCTTGGGACTTTGAACAAATTCATTCAACCCTCCCAGCTTCAGGGTCTCCATCTTCAAAAGAAAAACTGGGTAATAATTTACTTGCCTCCTAATATTCTGAGAATTAAATGAGAAAGTGCATGGAAAATACTTAACACAGTGTCTGCTCCATAATAAAACCCAGTAATGGCCAGCTGCTATTACTTGATCATCACAGGAGCAAACTAAACTCTCTTAGCTTCTTCATGCCTATGTGACCTAATTTCATACCCATACTGACTCTATTCATTATGAATTAACAAACTGAAGCATTAGTGATTACTTATCCTGCCTGAACTGCTAGGAGGGAAGAGGGTTTCTGGATCACAGAATAGATAGTTTATTGCTCAATACAAGAGCAGCCAAAGCTATCTTAGCACCATTTCTCTGAGTCCCAATCCCCACGGGGTGCTGAATGAAGGACAGACATTATCTCCCCATGTAGTAAGGATTCAAGCTCTACAAGGAGCTCCAAAATTGGGAGACCTGACAGGCTTGTATGTCCTGCTGGCCATATCTGCCCATCCCCCCCCCTTGAAAAAGAGAATGATCACTCATGAATCAAATGTCATCTAGCAAGGGGTACAAGATTTACTAGCTTGAGTGTAAGCAAATGGCTCTGAAGAGATCCATTTTTTATTAGTATTAGTCCATATTTGTAGTTCATAATGATTGCATTCATTGTGTGAAGTTGGTCCTTGTACATAACACATCTTCATTCTTTTATCCATCCCCTTTGCCTCCCATCCCATCCCCCTCCCTCCATCTCCTGGTCCCTTTCCTTTTCCCAAAAGATCTATACCTAGGGCTGAGGATGTAGCTCAGTGGTGCCATGTCTGCCTCGCAAGCGCAAGGTCCTGAGTTTGATCCCCTGTACCAAAAATAAATAAATAAATCCATCCTCTATATTCTATTATTTTTTATTTTGCTCTTTAATTTATTTATATTTTGAGTTTCTCATATAAGATAATTCATATTGTATTTAAGCTGCATGTCTGATTTATTTTATTAAGAATTATGGTCTCAAGGTCCACAAATGACTCACATTTATCCTTCTTTATGGCAGAGTAGTACTCCATTTTGTATAAATACTACATTTTCTTTATCACATTCCTAAATCTCTACCTTTAGGTATCTCATTTACAAGGTCTTTGCTCCCAAAACTTAGACCATGCAGAAACAAGAAAATAGTCAAGGAGAATTGTCTGCCAACTGGTATCTCCACACAGATACATTGTTAGTTGTCCGGATCAAGAGGAGGTTTCAGGGCTAGGTTATTATACCAAGTCTGCTTCTTTAATTCATCTCCCCAACCAATAAATACTGTTATTTACTGGGTTCATAAGAATGAAGTCTCCATGTGCTTCGTTCGGCTGAACCATTTGGAAATGCTGGGGCAAGTGAAATGGGCTACAAATTAATGTAGTCAGCTCAGGGAAATTGTTTCCTGCAACATATCCCTATTGTTTGAGCTTACCATTTCTTTCTCCAACACTAAAATTAACCTTTTATCTGTCCCATTTCTTTAAGACATCGTTAAATAATATTAAAAGTAAATTTACTTTAAGGAATAATGCAAATTTCTAAAGAATTTATACTTACCACACGACACTATTAATAATAAATATTTTAGTTCAAACTTGTAAATCCTAATGGAAGATTTCAGACAAGTAGATGTTTTTGTACAAGGATATATCTTACACAAAACACATCTCCAATTAACAGTGACAAACATACCTGTGTGCATTATTTTATTTAATCCATTAGAAAACCTAGTGCCCTAGAGGGAAATACAGAGGCACTGCAGAAGAGAAAACGGAGTTCAAGGTTACTTGTGTCTTAGAGGTTAAGTAAAGGTGAGCTACCATATAAAATCAAAGTCTTCTAACTTGGAGGATGCTAGATTTTTGTCAACTCCCACACTCCAGAGCAGCGATGTTCAACTACAGTGTGTTGGGTTGGGGACACAGCTCATTATGAGGATTATCACATCAGGGGTTCACACCATGAACCTCTTTAGAGATTTTGCTATCCAGCTTGAGTGTTGGGAGCCTCATTATTGATGGGATGATGTCCTAGCCCTGGAAGATATTCAGAGAGAAAAATTCCTGAGAACTGTGAGTCAAATTTTATAGCTAATGAACATACTTTCAAATAGTTACTAGAAATAGTCATAAAATTAATGTAAAATCCAGTGGGTTATGCAGTATTCACACAACATTCCTGTTAATATCTTTGCATCAATATCTTTCTTGGTTTCTGTTCATTTAATCAGGGGTATAAGAGTTTCACTTTTGATTATCATTTTTACAATGACAGCTAAAGGTTGCATCCTAGAACATAGAAGTCTGACTTAAGTGTGATGCTTAAATTATAATAATAATGAAGATTAACCAGTCAGGGAGAGCCCATTTGGAAAGATCACTCAAGGAGAAAATTGTTCTTGTATTAAGAGCATTGCCCCGCTCCACCAACAGGCAATCCTGAAGCACAGGAGAAAATTTGCATCAGCATCCGATAACATTCTTCAGAAGCCATCAAAATTCTCTCTCATCTTCCATGAGTACAGTACTCTGCCCCTCACCACCTGTCCCATTTGAATTAACTGCCAGAGAGAAAAGAGGAATGGTGTCCTTTTCACTGCTCTGCAAGTTCCCAGAACTCAGAAGTTATAATGCAAAATGTTTGAATTTCATAGAACATCAAGCAAAGTGCAAGGCAAACAATAAACCTAGGTTTTATTTCCCTCTTGCCTAGTTTTAAAGCTGGCTGTCATCCTTCAGGACTGTAAAAATGACCATGCAAGCTGAAATTGGACAAAATGATGCTAATAATCAACAGGGAAAATAATGATTATGTAACAAATTATGTAATTTAGTGTTAAAATACTAAAATTATCTTATTATCAGTTGTAAATGTACAGGGAAATTAAAAGAGTAAAATGTAGAACACTGTAATTTGAAACACCAGAAACCCTGAGGATCAAAGTGCTTTGTTTATAAAGCACCATATAGAACTCACAATATCTTGCCTTGAAAAACTGGCCTACACTTTCCTAAATGTAGATCAGCTTCCAACGTTTTATCCTTTGTACCTTCAATGTCATGAACCATCCCTGAGAGTTCCTTTAGTGTGAAGTTTTATTGTGTCACTCCTCTAGGACAGTATTCATCCTTCTCCTGCCAACCATGTTTTTCATTTATGTGGGTAAGTTCTCCTTCACTGAGTTCCTCTGGTTGCAGATCTAGAGTCTCTCAACTGGAGGCAGCATCAATATTTTCACAGTCAGCTATCTGTCCTGTTACTCCATTTATACTGGACTCCAATTTCACTTTTACAGTGTTTTCAGTTTTCCTTTTTGTGGAAGTTCTTAATATCAAGATGGAGTCACTTGTGTCAAATCCAAATAAATACAGTCAAGAGGCTAAGAAAGGATGTCATCCACACATGTCTATGATAGAACTATTACAAAGACTTTTGCTAAGAACTTCCAAGCTGCAGCTTGCTGCATGAGTCACAAAGACAGCTAGCTAGATGTGTAAGATGTGTAAGAACACTTGACTGATACATTCTCCACTAATAAGCTGATGTCAGCTCCTGTGATAAGCCCCTTTGGCAGTTTGCCTATGGTTTCAGTGTGTCCCTCAAGGGTTCCTATGTTGGACATTTAGTCTCTAGTGTGGCAAAGTTGAAAGGTGATATGGAACCTTCATCAGGAGGTGAGTTTCAGTAGGAGGTGCTTAGGTCACTGGAGTGCTGTCCCCAGAAGGGATTATTGGAATTCTCATGAGAATCTTAGTTCTCATGAGAAGGTTATAAAAAGAGCAAGTCTGACCTCTCTCTGCTCTCTGGCTTCCTGTCTTTTCATGTGATCTCTCATTTTCACACATGCTCCCCACATGATACCATCTGCTGTAATATGATTCAGCCAAGGGGGCCCTTGAAAGAACTAGTGCCATGTTATTTGGACTGCCAGGCTCAAAAACTATGAAACTGTAAATAAGCCTTTTTTCTTTATACATTATCCACCCTCAGGTATTTTGTCATAGCAACAGAAAACTGTCTAATATAGCCCCTGTAACAATGTTCTTTTTGCCTCAAAACAACTTACATGTACTCCTCATTTACCCTTAAAAAACCCTTGACTGTCTTCACTTTCCCTGAAGGAGTTCATTGTTTCTAAGGCATGCAAATTCTGCATTGTAATGACTTGAAAATTCTAATCAAGCTCATTTTTTTGTATAGCCATTCTCTCTGTTGTTATTTAGGTTGCTGGACTTTCTTTTTTGGCTAATTCCATTTTTAATTATCCACTTTGTATAACATCCCATTGGTTATCACTAGAAGACAAGGAGGCAACATGACTACATGATTTTTTGCCTGTGCATGAACTAAATAACATGTACAGTGACCAACTATCAATAGAGTTTGAAAGAAGTAATGGCCACTTAGCCAAATAACCAATTTATCAAATGATTGTTTTAAAGCTGGTTAACTAAAGGCTCAATTTGCAAATTGATTAATTTGCCAAATTACCAACTGATTGAATTTTGCCAAAATTGCTCATTGGCCCAAATATGCCTTTAAGAAATTATCTTGAATATATTCAATAAAAATGAATATTTTATTCTTAGAATCATAGTCTTCTTAATTACAATAAGTAAAAATATTGAATGAATGTTTTGGAATATACTCAATATATTCAGATTATGAAATCTTCATATTTATAATATATTCAATAAATAACTTCATTAGCATAGTTTTCAAAAATGTGAACATTAATGAAAAATATCTTCATGAAGTCAAAACCATCCTAAAATCTAGAACTTACAATAAGTTAATATGCCTAAGAAGAATACCTAAAAGTTAATTGTGAACTAAGTGGGTTTCTTTTATGCACCATATTGTTGGATTTTGCTTCTTAGTGCATTCTGCCAGTCTATTTCTTTTGATTGGTGAATTGAGGCCATTAACATTGGTGATTATAACTGATATGTATTGACTTATCGTTGTCATGTTATTTTCCTGTTGTTGGGATTTTTTCCCCCTCTCCCTTTAATTTCTTGCCTTGCCTGGTAGATTTGCTCTGTTGAGCCTTATGTAGTTGTTTATAGTGAATAAACTCTTCAATATAGCAACTTCACCCTTCGAGATGGGGGCTTAGAAGGAGATGGGGAGGGAGGGATAGATAGGTCTCCTCTGGGTATCTTTCCAAAAGAATAAAAACAATCATAACACAATGATATATGTACATCCATGTTTATAGCGGCACAGTCTGTAATAGCTAAAACTTGGAAACAGCCCAATTGCCCATCAACTGGAGACTGGACAGAGAAGATGTGGGTTTTCTACAAAATGGAGTACTACTCAGCCATAAAGAATGAGAAACTAAAGACATTTATAGCTAAATGGATGGACACTGAGGCCATACTCTTAAGTGAAATAAATAGGACACACATGTGTAAATACTGAATAGTTTCTCTGGTGTGAAAAACTAAAAGTGTAAATAAGGTTCAAAATTTATAATTCATAATTTGAAAGAGGAAGAAAAGGTCTAAATGACTAGGGGATGTGGGAAGGGTAGGGGAAAGAAAAGAAGGGAAAAGAAAAAAATATGAGAAAAGGAAAAAATGGAAACAAAGTGTTTGTAAATAGGGAAGGGGGTGCAGGGGAATGGGGAAAAAAATAAGAAACCAAGATACATCATGTAAAGGTGCAAGATCCCAATGCTGAATGTAACTGTATTGTATATATCTACAATGTACCAATCAACTTAATGGAAAAAAAGTTAATTGACTAGACTCAAGCAGAATATTCTTACAATAAAGGTTTGGTAAACTTATACAGTTTGATGAATTGGACATTAGATAATTTTTACAGTAGCAAATTAGCTCTCAGCCAGTTGGCTCTTCATAATTATTATGCCATTTTAACCTTACTTAAATGTCTACTTTCCCCTTTCCACCACATCCAGAGACCAAGGCTGCTGTGTTTATCTTTGCATCCTAGCATCTGACACAAATAAATATCATTGCAGTAAGTCACCTTATTGATGCATCATGCATAATAAATCTGTACCAAAACCAGAACAGAAAGAATGCCCTGCTCCCTGCCTGCTCACCTGCAACTGGGATATTTGTAATGCAGAGTCAGAAACACAATGTATCCTCAGCTAGTTTTCCCAATATAAAAAAGAGATAAGCACCATCTCACTTCTGCCTTCTAAATTTCTTCATGAGCCCATCTGCTTAGTCCAACCTATGACACACCTAGCTGCAAAGGAACCTAAGAATTGTATTTCTTTGTAGAACAAAGAATAAGTTGTCTGAGAAGAATAGTAAATGCCAGTTCACCGCCTTTGCCATCCACAGAGCACTAATCCTGCGTTGTCACAGTGGCACACCCTTTGCATGCAGACATCGTGCTAACATATCTGATTTCTTGTGCAGGCAATGGGCAGTCCCTCCCATTTTGTTTCTAATTCATCTACATTCTCTCTCTTGACTTTACTGTTTGCAAAAAATTCATCACTGGCAGCTGAGTATGGTAGCACATGCCTGTAATCTCAACACTAGGGAGACTTAGGCAGAAGGATTGCCTTGAGTTTGAGACAAACCTGCGCTACATGGTGATTTCAAGGCCAGCCTAAACTATATAGTGGGTCTTGTCTCAAAAAAACAAAAACAAAAAATCATTGGCTTGGGGAAGGCCAATGTTTGAAAAACAGGAAGTTAATACACCAAAATAATCTGGCCAGTGTGTATTCTAAACGTCTAATCTGACTGTTATCAGCTCATTGCCCCAGTGAGCCAGCCTGCCATGCTAGTCATAGTCATTAGCATTATTTTGTCCATCAGTCTCATCCTCCAGCCTTTGCATGTATTCATTCCAACAGAGTGTGTCCTCTTGGTCAAATCCTCAGAGAAACTTTTGAAAGATGACTTTATGATATCTAGATATTCCCCTAAAGCCTCATGTGCTCATAGGTGGGGCTTTTGGGAGGTGTGTGATGCTGGATTAGGATTGTGATACTGGGATTAATGATGTGTGATAACTAAATTGCTTTACCATAGATCTGGTG